TTGCAATTAGTTTTTTGAAAGATATTGATTTTTACTTGCTTAATTTTCTTTTTATTTCAAATTTGTTCGATTCAATGAGTGATATTATTCTATCGTCGAGCAACAAATGCTGGCTAGTAGTTATTTATAATTAGATGTAGTCTATCCGTTTATGGGATGTTAAGACAGGATAATAAAAAGCCAAATTAGATGGTCATTCGGTAGGAGTTTCTCCAGTCAATTTCTCACCTGATGGAAATACATTAGCTTCTGGTAGTGATGATAACTCTATTCGTCTTTGGAATGTAAAAACATCAAAAGAAATACTCCAATCAGATAGTAACTTTAAAGATTTACTTGCCTAGTTTAACATACCTCTTCAGAATAGCTCCTTATTGCCAAATTGTATTTATTAATAATTATTATTTAGTTAATCCTTATTGTACTATACTTAAAATATGTTAGATTCCTTTGTTAGAAGCATCCGGAACACTTATCCTATAAGGAAAGTTCATTAATCATTAAGGGAAAGATTTAAAACCATTGTTTAAATCGAAAGAAAGTTTCTTTTTAGAAAACTTAATGCAAAAGTGAATTTGAATATTCATACAATTATAATTTTAATCATTTTCTTTTAACTGTTTTGGATAATATGTTTCTTTTGTTTCTTCTTGATCTTCAAATTTTTAAGATTGATAAGTACATGTTTTTCAATAGTACCATTTCAAGCAAGTTTTTAAGTAAATGCTATTTAAATATTTGGTAAATAATGAGATGTCAGAAACTCTTGTTATAAATTATTAACTTTATAATCTAAATAGAGTAAACAGGTTGAGTCTTAAAAATGATAATTAATGGTTAAGTAATATTTAGATTTTTAGTTTATAAAAAGAAAAGATACAATTTATAATAAAGAAGCATTTCATATTTAAAAAAGAATTAAACTTTATCCTAAAAATAATCTAAACTTTGACAAAGCATCACCACTATATTTATGAGTAGTTTGCAGCAATTAATCGCTATTACAATCAATACAAAATTTGCAAAAAGGAGGTAGTTTGATATCAGCAACAGGACTTTGACAACAATAAAAATTTCAACATAAAATTTTCAACTGTTCTTTAGTAAATGAACTTAGTTTCATATAAGTGCCTTAAAAAAAGTATACTGTACACAAGTTCATACTTAAAATGAAACAATTAATAACAATTCCCTTCTATAATTTATGAAACGAATACTGGCAGCAAATATTTTAAATAACAAAAAGGATGAGTTAAAGTTTCATAAACCAAACAAATTTCTAATGAAGTATTAAAAGTTGATAAGATAAAGCTGGGTAGGTCAAGTGGGTTTCAACTTTGAAATTAGACCATTTTTGACAGCAGCTTAAATAAAGGATGCATGCAGGCTAAGTTTTGTCCTGCTAAAATTGTAGATGACTTTATGAGCTAAAGTGGTTCAAGTGATTCGAGGATCTCACTTATTACAATGTTGTTACATTAGAATAATAAGTTCTATATTCTAGAATTTTATCAATACTATTTTCTGATGATCCAATGCATCAATTGTGTTGAAATCAGATAGATACATATAAACTAGGGCAAGGGTTAATTGTGATAATTTATAACGTTCAACACTTCTAATAAGAGAATTTCTTTATTTTTGATATAAGCTTCTTAATGAGTGTATGATTAGGAGAGAATTTTGAGCAAATGCACGTTATTAATACTTCAAATTTAATACAAACCATGCTGAACTGCCTCTAAATGCATTTCATATTTTAGATTTACAGAGTAGGTAGTTTTTGCAAGTGGCCATATTCATTACACAGTTATTTAAGCATGGGTGATCTACTCTGAATCATTGTTTTAGCTTCTAATCTAATTAATAGCTTTTCTTACAACACAAATCCTAAAGCAAAAGCAGCGTGATTTTTTAATGTGTTATGACAACACCCACTAATAAATAAGTCAGAGAGTCAGAGTAAAAAAACTGAGAATATTTGTTCTAATTAGCCTATTTCATACAAATTGCTACAAAGCTACACAAAAATTTACTTGGAAACAACATGCAAATAAGAAAAATTATAAATGAAAGACAAAGCACCCATTTGCTCTAGTTTAATTATTAAGCAACAGCTGATTACATATTGCCTTAGCAAATGTATCCAACTGACATTTTAAAAAAGAATTTTTTATACAAGAATTAACCAATCTTTATAAGTATTGAAAAAGATGTTGTTGAGATTGTTCAAACAAGTACAAAACAAGGGTTGAAATAAGGCAAAATTTCATTTTATAGCAATACATTGAAACTAAGGTGATGATATAGCAAGTAAGCATTAGAAAGACACACATTTCTTGCCTATTACTTAATGAAATACTAAAATAGTTTTAAGAGTTTTAAAAAGAATTGGAGCAAGCATAAGTGTAACTTAGAGAATTTAATATTGTTGATATGAGTGGTAAGCAATTTTATAATCCGTTTTTGTTAAGTCAAGAGCATTGTTTTAAAGATGGGAATTAACATTTGATTCATTTAATGGGTATTAGTCTTAAGTCAATAAACAAAACAAGGAGCCTATTCTATTTTTGCTTTTAAATTTATTTGAAACATGAAGGATATAAAGGTAGTTTTGTAAATAACTATGTATCGATCATCAGAAAAGCATAATGAAAGGTTAATTTCAAGTGAAATTATATTCTTTCTACATTTAATAAATAGCGCAAGTGTTATATAATGAACAAGCTGTAGCTTTATTCAAGTAGATTATTTATGAATGCATCTGTTTAAATCTTACATCAATTTTCATCTCTTTAAAAAGAAAGATATTGAGTTGGGTTATATGAGAAAATAAAAGTAAAAGCATCAAATATTTTAATTTTTGCTTCATTTGAAGTATTTGACAAAAGAAGGTGACTCTCAAAAAATTAGATAGAGCTCCCACTACATCAGCGATAAAGTTTTTATCTAACCTACATCTTATCCATCTGTAGACAAAGCGATGTGTGTCATATAGTAATATGACAAGAAAGGGCTGTGTGAACGTTTAGCATAACTTGCAAGTGCTCAACACTGTACGAGTGAATGGATAATATAACCCTGCATGAAGAAGTAAAAATGATCCTGGAGTATAATAGAAATATGTAGAGCATAAGTATATCTTGAAGATTATTCATAAAACGAAGAAGTGAGTGCTAGATGTAAATTAATGTACAAGCTTTAATCTCTCAAGATTAAGTTCATAACTAACAGGATATATCAATAGATAATGTTCAAAAAATGATCACTTATTTTTAAGCGTTCGACTGATATGCAATGTGTTCCTCACAGATATACTTAGGTCGCGCTTGAGAAATCTACTCTTAGATATAGTAAGGTTTGGATCTAAAATAAGAACAAATAATTTTCTGCATTGTGCAAGTGTTAGCAGTAATATGCAGAATAAAGATGTTTTCTGGAAATAACATGCAATATTAAAACAAGTTGCAGAGTATCCTATACTCCTTCAGTGTTTAATATTCCAAATTTGGAAATGCTAATTGCATAGAGGAGATGAATTATCCCATAAGTCCACAAGTATTGATCGTTTTGTCTTTGGTTAAAATTGCAAGTGATATAGATATGTGGATCAAGCATTTACATTACCACCCTATAAATCTATTTAATTATTATGTAAAGTTATAAGAAAAATTAAAAGTAAATGGTGACATTCTGCAAGCCAATAAAGTCTAAGAAAAATTTAACATAACTTGCCATTTTAAGTTTGGACAATCAAAATAATCCTTGCCATTTATTTCAGATATTAGTTATCCAATTGATTATAAAAAGTTCTCTGGCTGCTCTTGATTAATAAAACTTATAACTTCCTCGACCTAGCACATATTTTCAAGGCAAAAACAGTATTCATTGTTTGTTGATACAATCTCTATATTAAAATTAAACAAATTATGTAAATCTAATTCTTACAGATGCTAGGATGGCAGTTATATAACGAAGCTATTGGATCTCATAATGGAACTGGCGCAGTTGAATATACACCCTTTTTCTCTATAAGATATACTATTAGCTGCAGCTCTCTATTCATGAT